CCAGGCCTGCAAGGAAAGAAGGCTTCCGAGAAGCACCTGGGCAGGTGAGGATTGACACACAAACCATCTAGAGAATGAAGGAAAAAGCTGAGAATCCCAAAATATGGTGTGAGTAAGCGCCCTCAGTTCTTCCTCATCTCAGCCAGGACAGGGCTGCAGTCATCAGATATAGCTCACGCCATTCCACCCAGCCTCTTCTCTGCAGGAGTTTGCTTCCCAGCTTTCCTTCCCTGTGAGTGTTTGGGTGGGATGTGGAGGCGGAGCCAAATTGCTCAGTCTTTGTGTTGGGTTTTCCCTCGGTACTATTCCTCTTTCTCCCCAACACAATGACTCCTGTCTGGATTGTGTCTCTCCCAGCAGGTGCTGAGCAAGGGAGTGAGAATGAGGCGGGGAATCATCATGAGGAAGTTCCCGGGGAAGTGGAACCGCAGGGGACCTTTGTGGGAAGAGCTGAAGGGAATTTTTCCCAGTGCTTGGAGCAGGCAGAAGCCTGGGGACATTGGCACAGGTCAGAGAGGCTTCTGGGAAACCAACCAGGGAAGAAAGTGGATGAATCTATTAACGGTGGGGGAGGAGAGGAGGATCCTATAGCGCAGCAGACAAATCCCAAGGAAGAGACACCCTGGCAGTGTGGGAAAGGATTCACTGTGAGATCACAGCTTGTGACACATCAGACAATCTATACTGGAAAGAAACTCCTTCAATGCTTGGACCATGGGGAAAGCTTCAATAAGCTCTCAGATCTTAATAACCATGGGAGATGCCACACTGGAGAGAAACCCACTCAGCCCCTCGAGTGCGGGAAATGTTTGATTTCGAAGACACAAATAATTAGACATCAGTTAAGCCACACAGGGGAGAGACCCCATAAGTGTTTGGACTGTAGGAAAAGTTTCATAAGAAGGTCACACCTACTTCGTCATCAGGCATTACACACAGGAGAGAGACCCCACAAGTGCTTGGACTGTGGGAAAAGTTTCATTAGAAGGTCACACCTACTTCGTCATCA